GATCAGTGATCCATCAAAAATAGACAGGAGGACAGAGAGGAGGGAAACAGAACACAAGCAAACTGATGGGTTATCTAGGTGCTGTCCTCAACCCTCACATTTTGCATTAAGCGTGGCTGGTGGAGAAACTTTTTGTTATATAGGTTCTATTACTAGAGAGGGGAAAATGTGCTATCTACTTGGAGAATATAAAGCATTTTCCCAGCACTCAGATCTAAAAAATTTCTCACATGGAGTTCTGGGTAGAGAATAACAGAGGACTGCAAAAAGTTCATGGAAAGACTTATATTACCTTTTAATTCTATTTTTCCACTAATTTTTTGAAGTACCCTCATATTAAATGATAGAAAGGAAACCAATGTTTTAGGATTGATTCAGGTTGATTCTTGATAGTAACAGAGCATGACCCCAAAATGTAACTTATGAAGGGATTGTAGAGCGGGCAGGACACTATGGTACCCTGATACTCCAGATGATTTGGTGGGATCCAAAGGTCGCCCGAAAGGGGAAGAAAAAGGTGTTTCTTAAAAACAAACAAATAATTCCCTATCATTTAAACTGATTTTAGCTGATGGCTGCTAGGGGTGTAAGAACCTGTGAACTTCTATTACCAGATTCTTTGCAGCTGGGAAAGCCATTTCACCTGAACATATGTCTGCCTATATGAGCAAGTGTAGGCTTCTTCCTATAGCTTTTTTTTTTTTTTAAACTTTAACCTAACACAGGGAAGATGCAGTCTAAATAAATAAGTGATTTCTGTATAATGAGGTAAGTTCTGTAATGGTGAAACACAGGATGCTCTGTGGGGCTTACCCAGACTTGGAGATCAGAAGAGGTTTCCTGGAGGAAATGACATCTTTACATAGGAGCTGGTGGCTGGTGTAGAGCTTCCCCAGGCCAGTGTGGTTAGTGTTTTAAGTAGAGGACATAGAGTGGCCCAGAGGCAAGAGAGGACCTGAAAGTAGTTCAGGATAGATAGGTGGAGAGTGATGAGAGGAAAGGGTGTGTTTACTTGATTCTAAGCAGTTGAAGCCGTTGGAGGATGTTTAGGAGTGTTGTGTATTCTGTCTGCAGCATGAGAAACGGTGAGGGGCACAAGTGTGCATCAGGGAGACCAGACGGATGTGGCTCTGGTACCCCAAGTGAGTCAAGGTGGCTGGTCAAGCTCGATTTAGCCAAAGATGGGGATGGAGAGAAGTGGAAGGCCATGGGAGACATGCAGGCAGGTGGGATGGCAGCCAGCGAGAGAGGAGGAATCACGTCTAGCACCACGTTTCTTGCCATAGCCTTCTTCGTGGGCCTGTGCTGTTCTTCATCAGGACTTTCTCCTTAGAAAGTCACACATGGTCCATGGCATAAAATACTA